ATATCTAGACAGACAGTGGGATATTTGGGTGAATTACAAAATCTGAGCTAGAAGTTCCCAAATATGTGAATGATTCATGAATTCTTTTTTGGAAATATTCACTTTTCGCCTCAATAAACTTTTAATGCTTCAGAATGTAGTCAAGAGTTTAATCAACTTGTCTTCCGTGAATCTTGCATAATTGTAATTATTCGATGATTATTCACTGCATTTGATCTGAGCTGGGTTCTGTTGAACACATTAGCAGTCGCATCTTGATTAAGCATTCATATTTAGATGCGATGCATCATCGACTGCCTTTCACAACATTCCCAGACGATTAACGCCAGCATAAAGAACAGCCAAAGCGATTTGCAAATGCCAATTTATCCATTGTTGTTAATAACGGCGATTATCTGGCTCAATATGGTGGCGTGCTGCCACCCACGAGCTTTCCAAATGGCCAACATTTGTCTTCAGCTTATCGATGGAATAGCCAGCGCAGCACAATGGCCAGCACTCTAAATACCTGCAGATTAGTCATAGTTCAGATAAAACAAAAAAGCCACGCCAAAAATGGACAATCTCTTGATAAATATCACAGTGGTCAGCTATGCGGCAGCTGCAGCAAGAGGTGTTCCAACCGGCTTGTTCAGCATGCAACAGTATAACAGTTTTCAGTTCAGTTGATAATGTCAATTAGTAATTGTGGTTTTGCATAACAATTTTGCTTAGAGACAGTTATAAAAATCTATGCTTTGGATACATCAAATAATTTATTAATTAGTATAACACTTTATGTTAGCTATACTAGTTCATTATTGTTCAAATTTGAGAAGTCTATGATAATAGTTAGACTATAAAGTTCGTATAACACTTTGCAAAATGTAATACAGTTTGTATAACAGTTTGTATAACAGTTTATATAACAGTTTGTATAACAGTTTATATAACAGTTTGTATAACAGTATACAGAGTTCTTATTTATTTTTAATCTCGTAAGGCTTAAATCTATTTAGTATAACAGTTTGTGATGTGTACTACTAATATAAAATTGTATTAAAGTATAACAGTTTGCAAAATTATATAATAAATTAATATGCTATGCTCAGATCAAAATTATATATAACGATTGTAGGATATAACAACATAGCACAACAAAGAGTTTGTATAACACTTGTTAAGTCTAGGCTCAATAGCTCACGCCTCCTTCAGTATAACAGTTTGGACTTCTTTGTTGCTGCCTTTATAATTGATTAACATGTATGATACCAAGTAAAGCCTACATTTTATAGCAGCTAAGTTTATTTTTGTATAACAGTTTGTGGTTAGTGCTCAGCGTTGCCAGACTGGCATTTGCCCGCAGTTGCAGTTGAGCCCATTAGCATTGCAAATACAACAGGCGATAACCAAAGCGAATTGCGAAATTCCTGCAGGCAGTCGGCTAAGCAAAGTGAATGGGATTCTGGCGACGTGGGCGAGTGAGTGCTCAACGAGGTCCGGGAGCACAGTCGCAATAGCAGTCAGCCGGATATGCATGGCATGCAAATCAATGCAGAACATTTGGCTGATGCAAGAGCAAGAGTTAAAGCTATGACATTAATCTGGGCGCATCTTCGTCATGGACAAGTTGCCAGGCGGCATTTGCATGCCAAGCAGGGGCGAGGCAGGCCACGGTGGCAGCTGCTGACACTTCACAGTTCATTGGCGCCGTGACAAGCCCACCAACAGGCGGCACAGTGAGCACAGTAGGCAACAGACTTGACGCAGACGGCGCAGATCGAGCCTCCCATGGCTAACGTTTCAATATCTCAATTCGTGGCGGCGCGGCCAACACACGCCCCAGTTCGAAATGATTCAGACGTTGGTTTTTTGGCTAAAGTTGCAGCAGTTTTTTTTGTTTTTTGCTTTTTTGTTGGAGCTTGTAAAATGGAGGTAATTGTATGGCTGGCTGGCTGGCCGGGCCAGGGCTGACCTTCAAGATGTCAGCGTCTAGTGTTTCCGTTTTTCAACTGACCAAATAAATTTGATGGCTGCTGTCTGCAGACATGAAAGAAGTTCGTTGCCTAAGTCTTTTGTTTCTAATGGGTCGAGGGAGGGCGGGCGCACGCGGCAGCATGACGCGTGCATAAAAATAAACATTCAAGTCGGACGACTGTTATAGTTAATGAGCCGCAATGGCTGCGCGCGACGGCATTAACAAGATTTAATGCTAAAAATAACAAATGAGTAGCAATTACGAGACTCCAGACAACAGACAGCAGACCGCAGACCCCGGACCCCAGAGCCCAGACGGAGACAGTCTGTGAAATAACCCACGCGACTGAGTACGCCCCATAGTCGCACACACATACGTATATATCTCTTGATTTGATGATGTGGGAAACACTCGAAATAGCAAATACAACAACGCAAGTTATTAGCACAAATAACACAACGAGAACAAACAACAGCAAAGCCTCAAGCATGGCAAAAAGGGTATGGCGGGGCAGCCACTCAACAGCAACAGTCAAAGTCTCAGCAAGGCACCCGGATTCGTTATTTATGGCAGACGACGGTTAGAAAATTTATATACATTTGTTATGCATGCATATATATATTTATTGGGTCTCTGCCTCTTCACCAGACACAATTCATCACGTGCGTCATTTAACAGTTCAATCGCTGCCCCAGCCTCAGCTCCAGCATCAGCATATTCTTTACAGCCGTACTAAAAGGGTTTTCTACTCAGATCTCTTGGGGAGTTCAAATACATTAAGCTGAAGGTCAATTAACGGTATAGCGCACTTATGTTTATTAATAATGTAGCCATCGAGCAGCATCTCTGTTGGGAATCTACGACAATTGAATTATTTAGCAAACATGTTTTATTTTTAAATTTTGATTGTCTTGTTTATCTTAATCGCATTTCAATGGCTTTCACTGTAGCATTTACCGGTTGGCTTAACTACGCGCCTAATTGCCAAATTCCCCAACAAGCAACAAAACAAACGGATGCTGGATATGAAAGCAGCTTGTACTTTCGAATGTGTAGCGCCCCACAAACCAGGCAAACAAAACAAATACAAATGACTTCAAATAAAGCTAAGTCTAAAACAAATCCGGTTCAAGCTTGATTCTCGACTTTAAATGTTTGATTAGATTGGTCTTGGTCTTGGACCTGAGATAAGCAACGATTCCAGCTGTGCGTAATTTGTCAGAACTTAATTAATTTTTGTTTAATTATTAATTAATTGCAGCCACCCACACGCCAAAGCCAATCAAAATGCTGCACTTATTTTCCTTTTTGCTTCCACTCTTCCTCTTTTGCTTCAATGCTCCAAGCCCAGTGTGTTTCTGGCATCCATTTATCAATTAGTGTATTTTTTTCGGCTTGTTGAACACAGCTTTAAGTGTATTCATACTTAATTAATGGGCTATTAAACTACGACTTTGCATGTACAACAACGGGGCGTATCTGCCTTTTTTTCTAATTTGGGGATTTGAGCTGGGATCTAGAGCTGAACAGCGAAGCGGAACAGGCGGCAGGCAATCGGAAACAGTTGCCAAATCGAAATATTAGCCTTGGCTACGCTCTGAAAGGTTAAATAGCATGACTATTTACCATTTAATTATGAATATATAGAGATTTCTGACCGTTGAAGCAATCAAAGCGTTTCCACTCTATAACATTTGCTTAACCCAATTCGGTTTAAGCTAAAGAAGACGAGCTGGCACAGTAACGTTGATTGCATTTCGCTTGCGGCACTTAATATATTTTTTACTGCCTGCTTTTAATGCATTTTACATTACATGTTGAAATTGTACATGATAAAAACCAACTCCATAACGAATGTTCATTTGAAGCTCTGTGCAAATGCAATTGAGTCACGGATCTGGTTAATCGATACCCTGCAGAATACGCTCATCTCTGAAGAGAACACTCGATAAATACTAGTATAACTGCATAGACTTATGCAATCGATACCTTAAAGAAGTTCATCCCTAATGAAAATAGAAAATATTGAGACGATATTTATATTTCCGCTGATCTGCTTTAATCAAAAGCCTGCGGAAGAGTTTCCTTTATAAACTGCATAACTGTTTTATCGATAGCCTGCTGCAGGATTTTAACATTCACTAGAACCGATACCTACTGTTGATAAGCTGCTTGAAGCAATACTTAATAGAAGATATTCATTTGAAAAGGCAAGTTTCGATTGCAATGATATGCAAATATAGTTAAACTGTCGAGATTTAGTCACTGCCTAAACATAATCAATGTGGGCGACGTTCTTCTCTGATCGGACACACTCGATAGTTGTTAAATTGTGACGCGTGTCAGCGTTGATTTGCCGCTGATAACGAAAAAAACAAAACAAATTAGGCAGTTCACAACAAAAGTTAGCTTACAGCTATTTAAAAAATAACAACAAACATCATAAGCAAGCAGCAATCAGAAACCAGGTAAATTTATGGCCCAGCGCTGAAACGGGTTAAATTCGTATACAGATCGAGGCAATGACCCAGAGAACTACTGAAAATACCGGCTGAAGTAGCAGCAGCACCTGGAACGGAAAGCTACCTATCGAATAGTCCGATCCATCTACCTATCTATCTATCCATTCGAATCGATCATTAAACATGGCCTGAGAACTTAATACGTCGATAAGACTCAATTCGATATTCTCCGTTCGCCACAACCATGGTCAGATCATTTACGGACAGTCCGAAACAAAACAGCGCTGAGAATTGGGCGAACGAATGGAGGCAACAAATTAGCACGAAATTAATTGCATTTAAGCAGCAATAAAAATGAAAAATTACCTTTATCGCACAGCTAAAATCGTGTCTTCGGGTCGCTCCCACCGAAATCAGTCGAGTTTTTATTTGAATTCCTTCTTGTTTTACTTTTGCTTAAGCTCGTTGCGGCTCATAGCGCATAGATCTATCATAGAAACTTTTTCGCTTTCACAAATACCCGCACTGAAAAAGCTGACTATTAACATATGTAAAACGACATCGACATTTGTTCACAATTTGTTTTATTTCACATGTTTAATAAATTGCCTTTAATCTATGTGTGTTAGTGTTAGAAAATGCTAAGCACATTTCAAATGTGAGCGTGTGTGAGTGTAGAGCTGTGAGCTGTGTGTGAGTGTGGGTGTATTTGAGTCTGTGTGTTAGATACTGAACTAGATGAAACGTGTGGAATATTGGAAAGAATGTCCTGCATCTTAATTGAATTTGCATTTGGAGAAATCCATTTCGGGATGCTGTTGCTTGAATCTAAAAAAGATAATGGAAGATTAACATTACGGAGAGCTGAGAGAGCAGCGAGGGAGAGGAAGGACTTAGTCACTTACTTCTCTAGTATATCCTGTTTCTTACGGTCCTCACTGGTGGGCAAGCCCATCTCCTTTTGACGCTGATCGTACATCATTTTCTCAACCATGCTACGCGTCTCGCCATCCAGATCAGATAGCTTGGACGATTCTGGATTGATTTTGCGTGTCGATATTTCCGGATCGGAGGTAACTAAGCGACTCCACCAATTCATGCGATTGATCTTCTCGAGTGTAATGAGCACCGTTTTGCTATCTTGGATCACCCAAAGCGATTCCTCCTGCTTGACCTCGGCACAGAGCTCGCCGTCGATGATCGGCTCTTGACCTTTGAGGCCCACCTTCAATGTCTTCTTGCCAATGCTGACCACAATGTCGCGGGCACGCAAAGCGAATGGCACATTGAAGGGAATCTTCAGCTGCAATTAGAATGTGTAGATGGATCAGTATAACCAGTTAATGCTGTTCATGATGATCAAGATATCTCTGACTTCGACTTCGACTGCAGAGCAAAACCAATTGCAAACAATTATGAGCACGTAACGTAACGGAGGTGAACATCTCCGGTTCATGTAATTTGTGATTAATGATCTGAACGCCTTCGACATTCTAGTGGCCACGTAACAAAGTCAACACAAATAACAATTGTTGACGTTGATGTTGATGATGATGCTCTGATGCTGTTGCTGATGCCCAGTGCTTTGGACAACCTTGAAGCAGCTAATAACAAAAAACGGTCTATAAATAAAACACACACACACTTCCAGATCTGGCCAAGAGGCACGTCTTGTATCGCCAGCTGCAATCAGAAAACTGGAGCTTCAGCATATCGCTGCCCTTCACCCAGGTCCAGGGCCTAGCCAGACCTGCCTCAAGGACTGAGGCTTGGTCTGCATTCAACGGGAATTTAGCTTAACTGCCTGCCATGCAGAGTTCAAGGACGTACAGCGGTTGTTTTCTTATGCATACATATATATAGCCAGATCCGGTTGCACTCAGCGCACAGGAGCAGCACTTGGAATGTCGCTCAACAGGTTGCCTGGATTTGCGCCAAAGTTAAGATTGACGAACAATGCAACGGCAACAGCAGCAGAAACAGCGATAGCAACAACAACGGAGGCTAATTGAGTGAGGACTGTTCCAAAGTTCAAAGCAATTACAGTGGCGTCTAAAATTATGTGCCCACTGCCTATTAATTGTAAGGCCAGGCCACATGCACATATATTAGCACCTTTTCTATTAACTTTAATAAAAAAAATTAATAATGCGATTTATGTGTGAGAAAACTAAACAAAAAAGAAAAGAAAAAACCTAGCAACGGCAACATAATTAATGCCTAAGTTATTAGATACTCAGTCGAGCCAGCTGAGAACACTGCAATCAATTAGCAACGACAACAACGAGCGACCCACTTGCCACAGTCGTTGTCGCATGTGGAAACGCAGTCGCAGTCGCAGTCACAGTTGGTGTCGACAACTGGCAAACAACAATGCAAGCGGCTCACGCGGCTCTTTAATTAAAAATCAGACAAAAACAACAGCGTCAAGGACGCTTTCGTTCAACAAGAAGACAAAGTCAGCAGCCGACCAAGTCCGCAGCACGACACGAAGATTCGTGCGTGCACATCTGCACAGATCTGCGTGTGAGTGGGTGCCCAAGGTGCCCCAACAACAACCACAACAAAGTAGTAACTACAGTAGCAAACACAACGGGCAGCCAACAACACAACAGCAAGCACTAGAGATGAGCATGATTATGATCGGGGCATTCCGTTCATACCTAAAGCATTCCAACTAGAGATGAGCGTCTGTGCTAGTTTTCATCGTGCTGCGATAACACAAGTTTATTCCTGCAATTAGTAATCGCATGTCTTTTCTTTTATCCAGCTGTTACCAAACTAAGTCTTTAATCGATACTTTGTCAACACGCAATCAAACGCTCAGCTCTAGCAGCAGCTTCTGTTAGGCACTTGTGCGCACTCTGCAACGACATTGTGGAGGCTTCAATCGTATCTTGTCGCCGACGCAAAGCTCACACATTTTTGACAAATTGGACTTAGAAATGTGTCAAAATTGAAAATGAAGCGGATGTCAATTGGGATTTCTGAAGCATGGCGGACGACGCGGATGTAAACGATTGAACGGCCAATGTGTGGGTGACGGCAATTAGCAAGAACAACAACAACAATAGCAGTCACACTTAACATGGCTGCAATTACCAGATTAGACCTGCTGTTAGCAGCTGCTGCTGCATTATGCAACACGTATGAATGTGTGGGTGTGTGAGTGTTCGTTTATTTGTAATTGCTAATCGAAACGGCTACCGATATCGGTTAGTGGCCTTTCGGCCTGTGCTGCGATATTCGAAAGGGAATTTTTTCGAACGCCAAAGCTTTCACAGTGTTGCGAAGGTTGTGCAAACAACAGTTCTATTCTGTCTGGCCGTGTGGCTCATTTACAAGTAGGAAATTTACACAAATCGCACACACACACACACTTATACAGACAAAGAGCCGCATTAAAACACAGCATCAAAATTAAAAGCAAACAATGGTTCATGCAAATGGGCGTGTTGAAAGCAATGAAGACAGCAACAAAGCTAAAACATGATGCGGCTAAAAAATGATGCCAACAAAGCTAACACCACAACAACAACAACAACATGAACAATCATTTAGTCGTCAGTCAAAGTTCAAAGCATACGGAAAAGGTGTCGCATTTGAATTAATGATTAACAAGCCCAAAACGTATGGCACACTTATGAGCAGCGACAGAGAGCGAGGGAGTGCGAGTGTATGTGTGTGTGTGAGTGAGTGAGATGAAGAACGAGCCTCTAATAGACGCTGAAGCAGACACCAAGTCTGACAGTTGCCGATTATGCAAATTACGTCTGCCTGCATTAATCGATAGTCAGCTAATCGATCATCGAACAGACTTGTGCACTAATTCTTCAGCCTGGCAACATAAAATACGCGCTTGGTTTCTATATTAAGGGCTTATTTAAATTAGATAAAGTGAAAGATATTTTGAAAATCTATACATATGTATATATATAAATATATAGGAAAAAATAACATTTAACTGTATTTGTTGTCGCGCTTTGTTTTGCTCAATTTGCCTAATTCTACGAATTTCGAAACAAAATCGACAGCAACAACTAAAAGTTCGCTTGACTTTTCTTAAATATGTATGTGTGACGTATAATTTATGCTGAAAGAAGCGGTACGGTGCCTGGCACGAAACACCGATCTCCAAACCAGCGTGGAAACAATCAAAAATGCCAAAAAAAAGACAGAATAACAAAAATAAGAAAAAAATCATTTCAAAACTAGCCAGAGTTGAGTGAGTGGCGCGACGGCTTCGATAACATTATCAGAGACCCGAGAGCTGCCCCATAATAATAAAATAAAACCTGAATCAGAACTGATCGTCGGACATAGTATATTGGAGTAGATCGGTGTCGTCGCCACTTGACAGCCAAATCATCAATTGAATTGCTTAAATCTGATTAGAATGGCAACCAAGCTGCAAACTAGTTCCAAACGAATAAAACACACCAAAAATACGTAGCTCAAGTGCTCGATCTGTCTGTCTGTCTCTCTCTCTCTCTCTGTGCGTGTGTGTGTCTGTGTGTACCAATTGAAATTGTTAGCTCTAAAGCTGAGAGTTCGCACAGATCCGGTAGCAGTTAAGACCCCCATAAAGAATTCCCAGAGATCAGTCACAACAGCTAAAGCCAAGCGACAGCTTATTGGCCTACTTGGAGACAAATTAGCATAAGCGAACGCTATTCATAACTCAACTCTAATTGATCGATAGCCCGGGATTATGCAAACTGGAAAATGTGATACAAATCTGGCATTAGAACCCAATTAAGGCTACGCGTTATATCTACCAGGAACCATAAGCAGCCAAAACGAATTTAACGCAAAAACGGATCTCCGGTAATAACCGAAAAGAAATAACTATAGCACACAATCAAAAGTTCATTTACCTATTTGAGCGACATTCCTCCGCTGTCAACTGGCTGTCACTGTCATTGTTGAGGATCGTTTTGTCTTCTGTCATTCTGCACATTTGCTGTAGTTGACAATTTTGGAGCTGGAGTCTAAGTTGTCTAAGTGAAGTCTTCCCTTAATGCATAGCTAACTTGCTTTACGAGCGCCATAAAGAATGTGATCGTAAATGTAGTTTCGTTTTCTTATAAACTTGACTTTTTTATTCGTAATTAGCTAGAAAAACCCACAAAATATTAATGAACAATTGACGTCATTAAGAATTTCAGCGTAGTATTTCCGTTTACTCTGTGACTCAGTGAATCAGCTGTGCATAGTTTTTCAGCATCATTGATTGGCGTTAAGCTCGTGTTCAGAAGCCCGTAGGCAAATTTTCTCTAAAGCGTTAATCTCCGAAATTAGCTACGACAAATGCTGCTATACAAAGCGAGCTTCCAGCTGCTTCTATTGTGATATTATCTTTGTGTTGCTTTGCTGTGCCAGCTCGAAAGAACATCGAGCGATACCTTTTGCGGAGGCCTCGATTTAATTTTGGGATATTTATTTTATTTGCAAAGGGAAATGGGAAAATTTAAGTATGTGATCGAGGCATCGATAAGTCTTTGGGTAATGAGGAAGCTATCGATAGTATTTAAGTGCATAGGGATATTTTTTGCATAGAGTAGGGAAATTACAAAGCTGAAGGATATTCAAGACAATAATAGTATTTTATTTTATATTTGAGGGAAATTTGGCTAATAGAGGAAATTTATTTTAAAAATGACTTTCGTTATCTTATATAAGTATGAGAAACATAGGCTATGCAAATGTAAGTGTTTAATTAATATTTTCTGTAATTTATTCAATGCCTTTTCTTGAAATACACATGTAAGCAGTGACGCGTATCAATGGGCCGTATTATGTAGTTGGGATTTCCCCGTGCCGCGTTAAAAATTATTAACTAATGTCACCAAAAAAAGAAACTGCTATTAAACGTTGGCAGCAAAGCGCTCAAATATTAAAATGCTTCGCATAACATACACAACCGGCAAGCGCACGTCAATAGAACTCTGGCCATAAAATATCTAAATAAAAGATATATAAACATATACATATGTGTATGTATGTGTGTGCTTTTTGCATGCTTAATTATATGCAACAAAAACAACATGAAGAATTGTTAGCTGTTTGTTTTGGCTCGGCGCGCAGCGAAGAAGCCACAAAGCTAACGTTTTGGTGAATGTTGTTGACTTAACATATTGGCTATGACTGTAGATTGCTTTGAATTGGATTGGTTGTTGTTGCCATTCTGTGCGCTCTGCGCTGTGCTGTGTAGCTGGTGTTGCTGCTGCCTCGCTTAGCTCTTAGCTCGGCTAAATTCAAATTCATCTCAATTCCATTTGGCTAAAGTGTTTGCTTGCTTTGATTCTCCACGCTGGTAACTGGCAGTGTCAGTCTAAATCTTTGTCAACTCAGCTGATTTAGGAGATACCGAGAGACATATATAAATACATAAATTGCTATAGAGTCAAGCAGCTGGGCAACACTCGCCTGTCTCACTTAAAAGGTGATAACAAGCTGCCTGTTCAAGGGGCATAAAACAAGAGAGAAAAAACTGAAGACAAATTTGATGAATGTTGTTGTCGCAGCAAACAAAATGTGTAACAATTTATTTGCTATAACAATTGGCACAGTGTGACAAGACAAGCAATTATCGCACGATTAATTCTGTTTATTGACCTCATTGAATTTTAACAAACATTCCATTAACGCGATAGAAATTCAGCCTGAGACTGTAGAAATTCTCGTTTTCATTTAATCGCCTTGAAGCTTGAGCAGTTTTACCATGGTATATAATTTCGTATTAGCTTTATAGCTTGATTTAGCGTTTCTTATGCAAAATTTTGACACTAAATGCTTATATTAGTATTCCAAAAAAGTTATATAATAAATTCAATAAACTCACTTTAATATGTTCAAGTTTGCCAAAAAAAAAAAAATACTAAAACAATAAATTTATGATATATGGTTATTTTTTTCTATGTGGAGGCAAACTGTGCCAATTAATTGGCTAACAAGAAAAGGGCGTGTTGTGCAGCCTTTTGGCAATTATAAAAATTAAGAAAAAAGATATGTACAATATATATGAAGTCTTCTGCGGCTTTTGAAGCCGGATCTAACAAGACACCCACGCTGTGAGCCCTTCATCAGCTCTTGTATTGGCTGCGCCGTGGGATTCAAGATGCCAATATTCAAAAGGCGATTAAACAAGCCCAAGCTACAGTTGAGTTGCAGCTCAATTTGCCAACGAATTTGCCCACAGGCCAACCTAAAAGGGCACACAGCAACGAAGAGGCAGGCAGGCAGTCGAGTTGATGTCGTCTATTTATAGAAAGAACTGAGAAAGTAGCTGAGGCCGAGAACATCAAAGTGACAGCGCGGCAAATATCAAATCAATATTAAGAGTTGGGCAGAGGGGTTGTTCGACTGCCCACGCCATCAGGCGGCAATTGATCAGAGAATGTTTTCTGCTATAAATATAGCACAATGAGCAGCAGCTGTTATGGCATGCGAAATCCGGCAAGAAAGTAGCTATCGAGCCGCAAACAACGAGAACAACAGCAAAAAGTTTGCGCATCGCGAAGCAAGCAACCTGTCGACAGCTTTTAACATCAGCGTTAACGTTAGCGTCAACGCCGACGCCAACGCCAACGCGGGCAGCGCAGCAGCAGACATCGCCGCTATCGCCGTTTGCTCTGGGCAGTTCAGATGCTCGGCGCGCGCCGTTTGCCTCAGTTTGATTCTTGACGCCGTTTAGATCGGTTCTGTTTTTTATCGCGTGCTAAAAACAGAAATTATAAGACAAAAAAGAAACAAATTATATATACCAATACACATATAAAACAAAGACGTTAAAGTCGCCAAACAATCAATTAACAAACAAAAAGAACGGTCCAAAACAGCGACTGACGCCCAGTTGAGTGTTTTGTGCCCAAACAACAAGACTGACAACTGGCATAAATATCTATATATAGATATATATATTATATAGGACTTGTGATATTATTAATAAGTTTCAAGTGTGTGTGATAATTACTTAGATAAGCTAAGTAAATTTGCCAAAAAAGAAAAAAAACAAAAGAAATACACAAAAAAAGTAAGTAAAAAAAATTACAAAGTCTGTTGAAAAACCAGTTGAAAAAATTAAAAAAAAAAAGAAAAAACTTTGTACAAAAAATATATATATAAAATATTTTTGAGCGCTGATAAGACTTCCGCATGCTTAAAACGATATTTACACAATATGCTTAATTCACAAATGAAAAAAGCTCAAATATTTGTGTGCACGCAAACAAAAGACTTAGGCAACGAACTTGACAAGTGTCTGGTGCGTGCGTGCAACAAATTTAGAATTAATTTCGTTAATTGCAACAATTATATAAAGAAGCAAGAAAAACCAACAATAAATTGTCATTTGCATTTCTAAAAGTGCCTGCCAATAAAATGAGAAAGGCAAAAGATAAAAACCAATAACAACAGCAACAACATCCACAGAGACGGCAATCCAAATCGAACCAGAGAAGTTCCATTAATAACAATAACAAAAACTAGCTGAATAAATAATAGAATGCGAATCTGCCTTTTAAAAGCCGTGTGCCAGGCAAATATCAGACCATAAATATCAAACGAGTTGCCAGCGGACAGACAGACAGCCAGCGCAGACTCGAAAGTTCACTTTTTATGTTCAAGCCAAAATAAAAAGTTTAAAACTCAAATAAAATAAAGGAACAAAAAACTTAGCCAAAACTCCAGTCGAGGGGCAGACCGAATTTCACATGACATTTCAAATTGATGGAAAAAGGGCAAAACTTAGACAAAGAAATTATCATAAAAAATGCCAAATGTCGTCAGCAAGAGCAAAAAATAAATCACTTCATATAAGTAATGCCCGCATATCTAAGTAGATTATATAAGAATGGGCGCTTATGAAGAAGGCATTCAAATAGACACTTTCATATTTATAGATGATCAGTTAAGCAATTAGAATTAGAATTAAAGAACTCTAGAAGAGTCTATAGATGCGAATCATACTTGGATTATGTATCTATATTTAAGATACATCTTAGCGCGCATCTAATATCAGTTATAGCTTATCTACATATAACCTATGTAACGCTTTAACTCCAAGCTTCCATTTAACATATTTTCTTTACTCTCGCAGATGCAGGATTATTGGCATATACCACGCGCCTCGCTCGTCTCCTCCAGCAGCTCGGCCATCAGTTCGGCGAGCTCCTCGAAGTCGTCAAACAAATCGAATTCAAATCCGCCAACGCTTGCACAGCGCAGCATCCACTCCACTGCCAATTCGAATGGAACTAGTGCAGCTGTCACAGCGGCTGCTGCGGCGGCTGTATTGGCGGCAGCCAAGCGCGGCTCCCGCTCCTCACAGGGCTCCAGCGACAGCAACAACAGCACACGGGTGAGTAAGACGAGCTAACAACGTCGAGCATCCACATTGAATTGTGACTCATTTCGAATTTTCATCCGCACACACAGAGCGCCGCATCCGGCTCGTTGCTGCTGACGGCTGCGAATCTGGAACGATTTGCTGAGATACACAAGAAACAGGAGCGGCAGCACAAGATGCTGCTGTCGGAGCAGCTGCCCAGTGTGCATGGCCACAGCTCCTCGTCGGCCAATTATAATGCAAATCTGGCACTGGCCAGCAACGCCAAGGATGCAGTAATACCCATCGATGCTGATCCCAATCTGCAGTACGTACGAACCAAAGACCTGGACACCGTGTCCATAGCCAGCTCCATGCACTTCACCATGGTAAACGGCGAACCAGGCGGCGCCAAGAAGCCCAAGCGTGGTCTCTGCGATCGTGGACGACAGGTGACGGTTCTCATTGTCAGCATGAGCACCATCTTCATGCTGCTCATCATGGGCATGGTCTATGCACTCGAGAGTAAGTTGGCTCAATATAATAAACTCAGACTCTTTTGGATTGGCTCAACTAACGTATTCTCCTTTTATTTGCAGTGCGTGCTCGTGATATGCCCAAGAGCTAACGCAATTCCGTGTGGTATTTAGAATTCGGAGGGGGCGCGACCACGCCCCATACCGTGGCTTCATAGTTTATTATTTATTGTACTTCCGTGTCAATTATTATTATTGTTATATGCGTTGTCATCGTCTTTCTGTGCTAGTTGCTTAAGTTATTTATTACACAAACACAAATTGTTCTGAGAAGCGAAATTTTTGTATGGCCTGCGTCATACTAGTATTAAGCGAAATAACAATTACAATTACAATTAATTAGCGTTAAATTAGTGGATCAACAAACTGTATCACAGCAATGACCTGGACAATGGACCGATACTGGAGTGAATGCCGAATAGCCAATACCCACGCATATATATATATGCATCTATATAAATATATATTTATATATACTTAAATATATATATCTATATATATTTAATGATAAATTTCTTTAGTTCTTTAATGTCTATTCAGAGAAGCAATTGTATATTTCCATTAAAGAATTAAGTTTTTTAGCCCTGTGATATGTCAAAATAAACAGAATTAAAATTGTATGACAAAAATGCGTTGGGAATTCCTTTTGATCTATGAATCACGGGCTAAAGAGAGGTCAAGCATTCTACACTTCTTTGCTATGAGTCATCCCTCTACAGAGATACCGGGTTCAATAACTGAGCTGATGAAGCGTTTAGCAGCACCTGCTCCAACGCACGTAAACACTTTTGCTGATCACCTCAGCAACAAAAACATATGCCTTAGCAACAATCATCATGGATCAACAACAACATAAGCCGTAGCAACAACACACCTGGATAAACAACACCTGGTGAAGGTTTAAGTAGCAACTTTCGCTAAATATATTGAAAACTAACTTCCTAACTTTCAATAATATATATTTTAAGAAACACTAAAGCTTGAACTAAGATATATAAATTAAAAGATAACGGAGCTAACATAATAGATTATTATAGATAGTTTTCTCTGCTCTATCTATAATTATCTATCTATCTATCTTATAATTTGAACAAGTGTTATTGACGTCAGAGGCATTTTATATACGTTCGAATAGTATACTCCTGCTTTAGATAAGCTCAGAAAGATAAAAATATAGACAATAGCTGACAGAAACTTTCACATAATAAAAATTATATTAAATACATAAATTGTGTTATATGTTTAACAAAGGTAAAAAAAGACGTCTAAGCGAAAATATCAAGTTTTGACTAATAAAATTTATTCATAAATTCACTTGGGTAAGCTTTCTTGGTCTCAGAAATATGTGAACTTAGCTCAAATAGCATAAAATTCAAACTGAATCCTTATAAGGATCTCTCTGAGCTTGTTATATGCAAAGATTTTAAACTCACCTCCACCTCCTGCAGCGTTTGCGTCCACATGTATTTCTCCAGAGTGCAGCCATTGCCAGAATTTGGCTGCAATTTGCCCACTTCATCCTTTTCGCTTTCATCCTCCGCCTTTTCAATGGGTTTGGAGATTTCCTCATTGGTTGCTGAAACTCGCGCCGAATCACCACCAGCTCCATCTAAGAGCTGCTGACGTTTTCTAGAAGAGATCAAAGCCCGTTGAAGATAGTAATTTAATCAAAATCGCAGCTAACTAACTTGTCCTCCTCCTCTTTGATAATGGCAGCGGCTTCTTCGTCGCTAATATCACAAATCTTATTGTCATCCATTTCCTTTTGACGCGCCTCACGCTCTACTCGCTCCTTTTCGTCCTTTAAACGCTGCGTAGCTTGGCGTGCTTTGACCTTTTCCTCATGGGCAGCTACAGCCAGTTTGGCCTCCTTGCGGAACACATCCAGTAGCAATTTCTCCCACTCATCCTGCTTGGCGCCTGTGTAGAAGTCTGTCTTTCGACGCAAGAAGCTGGCCAATGTATGCAGAAACTACAAAAAGCATGGCAAAAACGTGGGTTTATGTTTGTTTGTCACAGTCGTTCGCTGGTACAAAGGCATATGGCATGTTCGCATTATATGTGCTCAAAAAGAACTGCGATGCTATTTTTAAATGAATTGCTACATATATACATTTGTTTTAACAAAGAATTCGCGATTATTTCCATGTTTCTTTGTACCATGCTTCCAGTTCCAGAGTGAAAACTTACGTCGGGCACTCCGCCTCGATGCTTCTCTGCTACGGCTAGCAATATGTTGTCGAACTGTGCTTCGTCGGCGGACATTGTGTTTTGTTTTGTTTTGTAAATAGCAGACTTTGTCAATATTTATTTACGTTAGTTTTGTTATTTTCTGGAAATTTCCAAATTGAATCCTACTCCGAGTTGACGGGTGACTGCCGGTGACTAAAAGTGTGACCAGCTTGACTTACGCCAAAAATAACTTTTAGCAAACCCAACGAACAAGCAATGCACTTAACTAAAATATGGCAATTATTTCAAAATATAATATTTATATTACTTACTCTTCATTATTTATTAATTTTAATACAGCATTTTGTAATTTAATGGCTTATTAACTTATTTTGGTTATAGCCAGTGCTTGTGGTAGTTTAATGCAAGCGATATTTTTTCATATCAAACAGCTTTTACTTAACTAGTGTATTACTTTAACGGACATATATTAAAAAATGTTGTAGCATAAGAAAGGGTTATATTAATTTTTGTTTTTCGTAATTATATTAATAAATTTTTATAAAATATACTTTTAGGCAACCAAAAATTCACATGTACAAAACGCCGCTTAGATTAGTTATACGGGAATTGCGTTGGTCAATTCACACTCAACATCTGCTAGGTAGCAAAAGCTCTCAATTTAAGTTTCGCTCACTCTTTCGTACTCCTCTCGCTCTTTTCAGTGCATGAAAATGCGACTTTCGTCCTAGGCTCTCGTTCATTCTCTTTCGGTCTTTTGAAGGAATCAGTCGCATTCTGAATCCATCGGACGTTGATAAATAAAAGTAAATCGAAGTGATAAAATCAAACGCATATACTGAAAAAGTTCTTCATTTTGTGCTCAATGTGAAAACAGTTAAACGGCAAACAACAATCAACGAAAAAGAGTGTGACAGAAAAGTAATAATGCAACACATGTTTAAACAAGTTTAATAAAAGAAAAAAGTGAATCTTTAATAATTTATTGAATTATAATAAAATGTGCATTTAAGTTGAGGAGCCCACATAATTATTTCCTGCATGGCGAATATGCGCTTGCAAAAATCGATAAACTTCACATAGAAGCGCTTACACACACATACTTTCATATGAATGTATATACAAGTCGGAGCAAAAGAAGAAAATTGGGGAGAGAATGAAGTAGAATGAAGTTGGCCCGCCTACAGCTGACAATGCAGTGCATACAATTAGATACGCTTAAAATAAATTTCTGTGAAAACTGGCAGCAATGTGTGTCTATTATATGATTTGAAGTGATTGCTTAATGGTACTTTATTTATGGTCGGCTCTGTGACAGCACAAGCAAAAGGTTCTCTTTGCCCCCGTCCTGCCACAAGTACACGGCCCTTGTCGTTGGCTAACTGAAGTTGATTGTTGTACATGTGTACGTGTGAGTGCGATTGTGTATATGTGTGCGTGTGCGTTCAGCTTCTGTATGTATTAGCAATGTTTATGCTGCTCCACCCCTTCCTCAGTCGTGTTCTACGCTTCGCTTTACTATTTTTTGTTCTTTCTTTCTGCTTTCGGGATTCTTTGCACGCGACGTCGACAACTACGACGACGACGACGATAACTACAGCTCGTTTCGCTATCTTGCCATGTGCGCGCCAAAGCTGTTCCAGAGCAGACAACCAGGCCTGCTCTACTGCTCCGCTTCAAGGTCAGTGTAAGGTTAGCTCTGCAATTGCGACGCACAGGCCATGGCAGTGATTTTGACGCTGCCGTCGTCGACACTTCTCTGCGCGTTGGTCGTCGTCAATATTGTGTTTGTTGTTGTTGTTGTCGAGTAGCAATTGGGGGCGCTTGGCATTTAATGTGTGCACAGCAACCATAATGGCCATACATATGTATATATGAACGCATTCATCTGTATTAGAGGCTTGGATGTGTGTGTGCGTGTGTATGTTTGCTTGCGCGTATCCTTCATCAAATATTTTGACATTCCCTTGTGGACGCCTTTCTCAATTTAATTTGTTTTTCATGCTTTTGAGCAGCCTCCCACAGCGTCAACGCTCACTGCGACGGCTACTGCGACAGCGTTTGGCGAACGTGACGTAGGCGTCAACATGTCGCCTGTGCACAAGTGTGTGCGTATGTTTGCTCGCGCTAGAGTGTGTGCGTTAGAGCTTTCCCAATACCTTTCTACGTCACTAATGCCATCATGCCCTCTGACATTTATCTTTTTATATAAGCAAGTGCACACATATTTAGATATGTGCATAACATATATACATGGAAGTAGCTTTTGTATAGTTCTTTGCCTCTCTCTTTCTCTCTCTCTCTCTCTCTGCCTTGCTTGTGCTATGCTGTGTTTCACAGCATCTCTCGCACTTTTCCAGTGTTTTTTCGCTCGTCTTTACGTAAGCTTACATAATCAGCTGCAAACACTTAGCCTGTTGTATTTTTCTAGGTCTTTTCACGCTGTTAAAGGATTTTCAAGTGCACTTCACTGTTAGGATAACAATGATATCTTTGTTTTACTCGGCGTGTATTTGTATGTGTATGGGTGTGTTGCCTCTTAGGCAATGGCATAAGAGCGATTTAAATGCTGTTGTTTATCTGTGCGACTTGAGAAAATGCCCTAATTGGAATTTAACAGTGCTTGTTATAGAGCCGTAAAGGGTATTCACAATCAAACACTTTAGACCGGTTATAGAACAAACCGGTTTGAATTGAAATCTATAGAATTATGGATGTGCAAAAATAGTTGAACGAAAGTCGAAGCAAAATAAAACTTTATAAATAGATTTCTATAAGTATTTGAAATGCAGAGTAAATAATGAGCTAATAGAATGCAAAGCAGATTCCTCTTTCCGACGAAAATATTGACAAATATTTTGAATAAAGCAATAATATCTACAGTACAGCCTCGCTAGACTGAACACTCGCTCGTATTACTGTATCGTTCCTAGTATACAAATATAATCATTATACTAATAATATTATATATCTTGAAATGGAATCCAATCAAATGGAAATTGGAAACATTTAAGCTTTCTAATATAGTGCTCAAATCAGCTTTTTAAAATTCTATGTAATTCCAGTCATCTGAGTAGAATTCTTTCTAACAGGTGTAGCCATGTGCCTTTTAGAAAAACAACGATTTCATTTCCATTTCAATTAGTATTTCTTTTCGAGTAATCCACTAACAAGTCTTGATTGGCTAGCAAACTGAGACGGATTGAAATTGGATACATTCTGTGTTTGGTTAGGCGACAGGCGCCGCTGTAACCGCAGCCGCAACCCCAGCCCTAGGCCCCAATTCCAGTTCCATCAGTGATTTTCCAACCGGGAAAAAACGTGATAAAATGCTGCTCCAATTGCGTCGTAAACAGGGCATCTGCTCAAGGTATGCCAAGTAGCTGCACCACAACAACAACAACAACAACACCAGCCAAAACAGCAACAATAACAATAACAACAATAAATACTTAAGATAACAAATTGTTATTATGTACGATTGTTAAACTTGATTGAGCTGCATTTGCTGACGCCAATTTCCTTAATTGAATTTTACGTTGCACTTAATGCCCTTTGATTTATATGTGGTATTATGTTCTATATACATTCATTGACTGCCTTAAAATGCGTCAGCAGCTTGACCAAGGCACTGCATACTGATATTGTATAACAATGGACGTAGCGCCTGATCGATTCGCTATTACTAGGATTACTGCGACCACGCACTGATAAGCCAACACGCTTCGACCTCTTTCAATTGCATGCTAAGAAATTGGCACTTTGTGACGTCCTGCTTGACAACTGAGCTGAGAACAGTATTGTTTAAGACACGGGTGGCAAACCTGAGGAGGGGTCATAAAAGTTATAGGAAATCCAATGGAACTGTCTGCCTATCAATGAGAAACTGGCATAAAGCCCTTTATAAGCCAAATGTTCTCTGAACCCCTTTTTCAAGGTATTGAATAGAAAGCTTTGAATAAACAATGGGAAAGAAGAGGGCTAGGAAAACCTATTCATAGGTAATTTGAGTTCTGCTTTTACAATATAAGTCCTGCGTGAGGCCGTGACATAAAAAGGGCTAGGTATCAATGGTATTAGAGTTGTCCTCACACAATGATAACTCAACATAAAACATATATAAGACCTGCTCTGAATATATATTTTGTGCTAGCTCGAGCCTGGCATAGGGCCAGATTACATAAGCTACAGGTGACGCCCTGGTCTCGGAAAACCTATTCCAATAGCTATTGCCTTAGTCTTAGTTTCGCCAGCGCCCTGGAATGCAAATGCGTCGTTTGTTTATTCGACTGTGCAAGTGCAGTCATTCCAGCCATTGCCTAATTGACGCGGTAGTCGCGGCGGATCGGGGAAGAGCCGCACCTAGGTCGCAGCTGCTATAAATAGACATAGCACGTTATATTATCTGGACAAATGCGATGCGAGTGGGTAGAGAACTGGCTACGAAAGTCGTCTGTTAATATCGAACATGCATACACTGAGAGAAATTGGAGAGTAACTACAGGTTAAGAACACCTGCTGATCAGTCTATATCTGTGTCTGCCAGACACTGAAAGATATCTAGTAGTAACAGATAATCTATTGAATGAACCGGAATTGTCTCTGCTATCACTTAACACTTCATTGGAGCTCAAATCGTGCCATGTCCAGCGTTCTATTAGCGTAGCACTAACTACTATATTATATAGACTTCAAAGGCAATTACGGAAACCCTAGGCTGGTCTGGAATGTTAGACAAGTGCATATGCCCGATCGAAATATTCAGTTACAAACAAACAAAAAAATGAAAAACAACTTTTGTTATTTATTCAAGGTAATTGTAAAGCGCAATAAAAAATCGCCCGAAGCGTGAGGCAAAAAAGGTAGAAGAGAAAAAAAGGTTTGCTTTCTCTGTGGGATATACAATCCATTGGCTAATTAAATAGGGGAGGCGAGCGCAATATCTAGATAATGAACACAAATTGTTACTATTATTAAAATCTTGTGGGTTTACGCTTAATTGGCGCTATCTCTCCCATAGCTGCTGCAACTGCTCTGTTTGCACAGCTGGTGGACATACACTCATCTATGATATAGAGCCTATATAGCTATATAGTATGCCAATAAAACTGGCGACTACTTGAAACCAAAATTGAACGATAAGACGTTAACAGTAGCGCGTTTAGGTCAGATAAAGCCAATTCGCTAATTGTATATC